CTCTTGCCATGTTTGTGTTACAGTAGTGCATGGAAACATGAGTGTGTGTGTCAGAGGAGAAAAGAGGGCTAGGATGGGGAAGGGAAAATCATGTGCAGTATGTAGCCTGTTTGATAGAATAAGCCTAAAGTGGAGAAATCACAGAAAACAACTGAAAAGAGATGCCTGCCACTCTTGTGCCTGGATAGTGTATCCAGAAGAGAATTTAGATCTCTTTTGAATAAAGCTAAAGAAGAAGCATGTACTTAATTTTCAAGACATGTAAATTTATTTGTTTGAGATTCTCTCTTTACCAGCCCATTCAGAAATATTGCTCTAAAAATAAGGTTTTATAGATGTACCTGGTATAGAGCAATTTTTATAAGAATGGACAGTTTTGATAGCTAGTGTATTGTTTGTTTGCAGTTGGCTAACTTGTAAATGGCTTCAATGCTTCTTTTTGTTAGGTCCTCTTCCGATATAGTTCCCACGAGAAATAATTGAAATTAAAAAGTTCACTGCTACTCTGTGCCCTTCGGTAAATATTATTATTTTATAAACATTACATTTAATTTAGTTTTTGTGTGATAAGTATTAAGTTCATTTTAAAACTGAGTCTCGATTGTCAGATGCGTACTGGAGCACCTGCTTCCTGCTCCTGTGCGAGAAGGTGACGAGCTGTGATCAAGAATGTTCCGTGCTTTGCATTTTATCAGTTTATTTTTTTATATAAATACATGGTCGTGAACCTTGAGAAGCCATGATGTCTTAACAGGAGCCATAAACATAAACACTTTAGGAAGGGGCGAAGAGGTTGAAAAGCTGTCGTGGCGGAGGGATAAGTCTCTGAATGACATGTGATGTTTATTTGTTTAGCGATCTGACCCTTTCGCTCATTCTTAGGCGGATTCTTCTACATTTATTGGCTTAGCAGCTTATTGTTAGGTCAACACTTAATATGGAAAGACCAGGTAAAAACACAGGCCGACTTGTTTCACTCACCCAACTGAGTACTTTCACTCACTCAGTGAATTAATGTTGAAGACAGTCTCTTATTTGTCAGTTAAGATATTTAGAAAATAATCTGTCTTAAATTTGGGTGAATTTGGTAACTAAAACTATCTTGAAGATATTCAAATGTGTGTTGAGAATCTTAACACACTTAATCTGCCTTTTATAATTTATTAATTGTATTGAACGTTACTATTTGTTGTTATTGGTAAAAAATAAAAATAAATAAATCTGTTTAAAATAAATGTGTTCTGTCCTGCATAACATTGAAAATACTGAAATTAACTTAACCAGTGAATTGGACAGGGACTCAACATAATACGTTTACCTGATGACCTGATTTTACATGATGTGCGTGAATGTGAGTTAGGAATGACATGAAGTATCCTACCTTTGTGTATGAGGCCTTATCTGCGATAATGTATAAATAAATACCTGCACAATATATTCCATATATAGTAAAAATCTTCTTTCACTTGGCATTAGGCAATTACTTGGTAATGCTGCCAAGTGACAAGCAATAGCAACAACTCTTCCATTCACCTAATCTACCCTTGCTTCCACCAAGCCAGTGTGAACTAATGTTAGGCATGCGAACTAAATGCGCTTTGCCTTGAAGCATCGGCATTCTTGCAGCCAGCATGTGGCAAGAGTGGTGACGCACATTAGCGTTCTCTGGTTAAGTACTATTTTCAAGCACATGAAGATAAGTGCAGTGTGTACTACTTATTTTAAGTTGATGGTTTCCAAGCACTTTTTCCTTGCTTGTTGCCAGTGAGATAATGTGTGTATGTTTGTGTGTGTGTGTGTGTGTGTAGGCCCAGATTGTGGTGTTGGCAGCTCAGATCCTCTGGTCAGAGGATGTAGAGGCAGCGCTTCACCAAGTGAGCCAGTCTGATGACCTGGGCATGGCCCCTCTAGAAAGAGTGCTAGCGCAGGTTGGTGCCACCCTGAATGTGTTGGCTGACTCCGTTCTGCAGGAGCAACCCCCACTGCGCCGTAAGAAGTTAGAGCACCTGGTGAGTAGTTATTTGAGGGTGATACTAGAGTGAGCTTGTGAGGCACAAAAGCACATCACACAAAATCTTCCAAAAGAATGGCATGTCAAAACATGACTTGACACTAAATACCATTCCCTTGGAAGATTTTATGAACATGCCTTAATCAATTTCCTTCGCTTCTATCTTGCTGCTTTCATTTCTCTCTTTCTCTCTCTCTCTCTCTCTCTTTCTCTCCCTCTTTCTCTCCCTCTTTCCCTCCCTCTTTCCCTCCCTCTTTCCCTCCCTCTTTCTCTCCCTTTCTCTCTCTCTATCTCTTTCTCTCTCTCTCTCTTTCTCTCTCTTTCTCTCTCTTTCTTTCTCTCTCTCTTTCTCTTGTTCTCTCTCTCTTTCTCTCTCTCTTTCTCTTTCTCTCTCTCCTTCTCTCTCTCTCTCCTTCTCTCTCTTTCTCCTTCTCTCTCTCTTTCTCTTTCTCTCTCTTTCTCTCTCTCTTTCTCTTTCTCTCTCTTTCT